GAGACTAAAACCGCATGATTCATTCATTACAATAACTATATCAGATTCAGGTACGCTTTTGATTCGGTTCACAAATTGTTGAAGATCCAACATGAATGATCAATATGACGATAATAAGTTTTCCCAACACAAATGTGATCCCATTGCATGTTATGAAGATGTTCACATAATTGATAACCGCGTCCAAAAAAACGTGGTTAAAAAATAATTATAAGATATCTTAGTAATGAAGACATAATTATGTATATCTTCCTTCATATTCATAACTCCTGTCATATATTACAACTTGTGTGCCAAATAGTAAAAATTATATAGGCACGAGATTACTGAATAGTAATAAATCATATAGAAAGTCTGGGAGATTGGATGAATTCGCCCAAACAACTTGGTGATGGCTAATGAATTTACATGTGGGAAAACCTTTGCTGATAGCTGATAAAGATGCCATGGAAGTTGCTAACGGTATACTTTTCCATCCTCATTTAGGATGAAATCAAGATCAGATTTAATGGGTGTGCCGAAGCTACAAAACATGTAATCAGCATGAGAATTTTTTTATTTGAAAACTAAAAACCACTAATTAATTTGGTGAAAATTCAATATTCAGCGATTAGATCAATAAGTTAATTAGGCAAAAATTCTATTCTGGTTATAAATTGGTGAAAAGCATTAAAAAATCACCTCCATCACCAATGATGCTTGTTATCTTTCCCTCTACCATAGGTTTTCATTTCATAATTTCCATGAATATGCAACCTACGGACTACACGTCTATTACAGTAGTATATTCAAAAGAATTAAGCAACAGCTCGGGTGCTCGGTACCAGCTGATTATAACAAATTCTATCTGAACTCATTATCCAAGGAAATCACAAATTTTAAGATCACTATAAGCATTCAACACCAGGTTTCATGGTGTAACAAAAATAAAACGAAATATCACGCACAAATCGATTTCAAAAATTAACTAATCACAAAGAACTACATGTACTTGCAAAACATCAGTAGTTCACGCAGATAACCATGTAAATGCAGAAACCCACAATTTTATTTTTATATAAAAATTGTATTAAATACCTTCTTAGTAGATGAATTGTGGGAAAATGAACCCTTCAAGCACCTAGATGAACGCAGATGGGGTTTTGTAATTTCAACTATTTTTGTATGCCATATGAAAAATGAGTTATTCGTTGTTGCAGTGAAATTCAGAATTTCATTCCGATTGGTATCTCAATGTGTCATGATTTCCAGTGTGAATTATGGGAATCCGAATCCCACATCGGAAGTATGGACTTCATTTGTGTGGTTTATATAGACTTGAGTTCTCCAACCATATTTGCTACCTTTTGTGGTCTGGCTCTTCCAATTTCTATGACAATGGTATCAGAGCAGACATCATGTCTTCTGGTCTCGGTTACCACTTAGGGTGTATAGGCACTTGCTCGACGTAAACGCCGAGTCGGAAGCGTGGTGGTTTGTCATGAATTTCAGTGGGATTTATGGGAATCTGAATTCTACATCGGCAATACGGGCTTCCTTTGTGTGGTTTTTATAGGCTTGGGTTCTCCAACCGCATTGGTTAGCTTTTGTGGTCTGGCTCTTCCAAGTTACATGACACGTCTCACCCATTTTGAATTTGAAATTCCATATCTTAAGCTACGATGCATTGATTGAATATTTTCCAACTTTGGGGGCTACCTCTTATTCTTTTTCCAAGAATAAATCCTCTTTCAAAGGGGGATGAGCCTCATTGTCAGCTTCT